GTGTCTCAGGCACAGTTCACGAACAGAGAAAAAATTGAGAATCACAGATATCAAAATTTCATTACTCTGCAGATTATGTGCCTGTCATTCAGAGTGGAAATTCTTGCAAACTGTATATAGTACTTCAGCAATTAATTATAGTCTGTATAGCTTATTTCAATTACCTGGCTGCATGCAGGCAACTGAGGTACTGTCAATGTACCAGGTATTGTTAAGTTTCCATCTTCCTATCTAAAAAGAAACACACCTGCAAGGTACATTGATGACGCAGTCTTCTTAAACAGTAGTTATGATCCGGAATAGACGGTGGCATCAGTGGGAACTGTATGGTTGCCTTGAGTAATTTAGTTCTTGTACATATTGGAATATTAAGCTAAAAGTTTTACAACTGAACATGGTGGCATGATGCAAAAAGACTGCTAAGAATTTTATTACTCTTTTTTTAGCAAGGAGTGCAACTGAACATATAATAGCCTATGCAATTGTTTTGGTCTACATGATGAGCAGTTGTCACCAGTAAATTGTGAACATCATTTAATATCAAACCCTTCCTTGCATGGAAGTATTGTAACTGTTGTGATAGGAATGTTAACCCAATTACAGTCAGCTTAATTTAATGGCCATTTGTTAAATATTCTTGCTTGTCCTACCTACCAAGAGTTATAAGTCAGGGTATTTACCATATTTTTAAAATTATTTTCAAACAGGTGATGAAGAAATGCCCATAACCCCAGCCATGCCTTAATCTATAAAGGGCCCTTGTAGAGCCACCTGCAGGAACCCCTCCAGTGGCACCCACTGCGCCACCTGCTGCCGCGCTGCTAGACCTGCTGCTGTGTTGCTAGACCTGCTGCTATGCTACCAGCTGTGCCACCTACTGTTGCTTGTTCTACCTACCAGGTGTTATTATTTAGTGAGTGAGACAATATTATTATTCAAATTATTTTGAAATAGGTGATGAAGAAATAGTTCTAGGAAGAGGAGAAGGGGCCCCAGAAGAAGCCCCTGCAGGGGCAGCAGCTGTACTACCACTGGAAGGAGCCCCACCAGGGGCAGGTGTAGCACCCCTAGGCCTGCTGCTAGACCTGAGCACCCAAGGATGAGACCACAAAGGATCAAGTGATAACTAAAACAATAGAGTGTGTGCATTGTCATCCAATAAAAAATAAAATAAAAAACCATGCAGTGGATAAAGTCAAGAAATTGTGATATTGTAGATTACGGTGGCCCACAACTGTCACGGCAAAACAAAAAGTCACGGCACTGCAAACTTAACTCACGGGAAGACAATGTTATCTGACGGCAAACAAAATTAACTCATGGCAGTACACCATTAATTCACGGCAAAACGAAATTAACTCACGGCAGAACACCCCTAATTCATGGCAAATCAAAGTTAACTCGCGGCAACACAAAGTTTACTCAAGGCAAAACAAAATTTACTCACGGCAAAACAAAGTTTACTCACGGCAAAACAAATTACTCATGGCAAAACAAAGAAAACGAGTTGGTCAGGGGTTGGTCAGCGGTTGTTATTTGCTTTACAAATGGTATGTCATGTAACAGTAACACACTGCTCGCTCGGAAACCGCCATTTGTAGTGCAGTGTTCCTTATCTCTAAGTATTCGTATTTGCATCTCTTTTAGTTCCGAATAACGATTGGCATGTGCGAAGCTCGGTCAGTAATTCAAGAAATATATTAGATTTTGACCTTCTAACACAGCAATGGGTTCACAGAGTGCTATGACATAATCTTATATACTGAGCTCGTAATATATGTTATACTGTAAAACCGTTCATTTGTAAATACTTTGCATACATACATTTCTTCATTCAGTCATAGCATATATTTTAAAGTTTGTACAGTTAGATCTTTTCTCTTTTTTTCTCTTTTCTTTTTGTGGCTTACTTGAAACCTAGTTGGTGCATTGCAGATTTTGCAGGTCATATCTGCAGGACGCACCAAAAATAGCTAAGTGTATGAGTACATTAAATATTGCATTGCATTGCATTGTATTGGATATGTTAAGCTATGGAAAAAAGTGTCTTGTTGTCATCCCTATATTTTTGTACGTTGACATTTTAGACCTAAGGTTAGAAGATTCAAGTGAGGAAGAAGACTTTAGCAATGAAGTTGAGGTGGAGATTGATGAAGAGACCATTATCAAATATTATTTTCAATGTGGTTTTAGTTACAAATAAATCATTCATTTCCTTGCTAAGCGTCATGACCATGAAATAAGTTACAGCACACGTTTAAGACGATTAAAGACATATGGACTCAAGAGAAGGGATTTTTTTAACGCAGAAAATTCTGGTGAGGTTTTAGAGGCAGTTAGACAACGTATCATTAAGATTATCCAGGGACCTGGATCATGTGGAGGATACAGGACAGTATGGCACACCTTAAAAATGGAAGGTTTGAATGTTCCTCATATAACAGTACAAGATATACTAAAAGAAGTGGATCCAGAAGGTTGCCAGTTGAGGAAAGCTCACCGGTTGAAGAGAAGGACTTATTACTGTCTTGGCCCAAATGATACCTGGCACATAGATGGTTATGATAAACTGAAGCCCTTTGGGTTTCCCATACATGGGGCAATAGATGGCTTCAGCCAGAAAATATTATGGCTTGAGGTTACCAGGTGCAACCGCTCACCAGACAACATTGCCACTTACTTCTTAAGCACTGTAAAGGAATTGAAGGGATGCTCTAGACAGCTAATTACAGATCTTGGCACTGAAAACGGATTGGCAGCGTCAATGCAGTGTTATTTTCATGGTGATGCTGATGCCCACCGTTATGTCTCATCACCTAGAAACCAAAGAATTGAAGGGTGGTGGTCGTTTTATTCACGGAACAGGTCAACATGATGGCGCAATTTTTTCCAAGATTTGGAGTTTGAGGGTGTCTTGGACTCTTCTTCTGAATTAAGTAAGGAATGTTTGTGGTACTGTTTTGCACCAGTTATCCCGAAAGACCTTGACATTGTTAAAGAACATTGGAACAGCCACAGAATTAGGAAAAGTAGGCACAACACTGTCCCTGATAGTCCTGATTCACTATTCTATTTGCCAGAGTTTCATGGGGCTGTTGGAAACCTTCTGCTTAATGTTCCTCAGTCAGAAATTGATTATGTATCTCAGCACATAATTCAGAGAGGAAGTGTTAATGAATATCAAGATTACTTTGATCATGCTAGAAATGCCCTGGGAATCAGCGTTCCAAATGACTGGCAAGAGGCATAGAGACTTTATCGCAAACTTTTAACTGCAGCCATAAATGGTGCTTAATTGCTAAAATCACGTGAGATATTGTTTGACATTTCTCATTTTAAGCAAATCATGCCTTGTTTTTTGCCCAAAATCACACCAACTGTCACTTGGTGTTAACATTACTGTACAGTATATCTGTTACTAAAATTATTATTCAAGAATAGTGACTCAAGAAGACTTCATGATCAAAGTATAACTGTTACATTAACTTCATTATTTTATTGTTCAAATTGATTTCCAAAACTGTATGGTAACTGTATTTGTGTTTTCAATAACCATAACATGAGGCTACACTTGTTAATGCAAGAAATGCGCCAGAGAACATTGTCATAACAGACATAAGGTTATATGAACATGTATGATTAGGAATCTCAAGATACATTTAAGCAATTTTCAAAGTTGATATGCCAGCTGCATTAATAATATCGTATGCCTCAAAAATAACCTTAACATTAACTTGTGGTTGAATCACAGAGCTGTTCTGGCAACAACAGAAATAAGGTCATATAACATTTCAAAAATTTTTTCAGTAATAAGGAACTCAACTCTAGATTATGGCCTCCTTTGAGGATTGTTGAAAACGTACACAAAAAACATGAAGAGTAAAAAGAGCTGAAAATGCTCAGGGAGTTCTTGAACATTTTATCAATAAAAAGTACCAACCCTTTGCTCCTCCTAAATAACAAATCTGTTCTTAACCCAAACAACTAAACTTCAACGTTTTTAGAGCTCTATCACGATGTCATAACTGTTGTGAAAACAATGTCTGTTTGCCCTGTAAATCTCCTCACAGTGGTCCCTGATAATGATAATAGCATGAATAGCATTAAGCCATACCAAACGATTGTCCCTTGGACAGTGCTAACACAAGGACTTCATTGAAAGCTTCCTGTGTTTTCATGTGTGCTACGGGGAAAGTGATTTCTTTTGCACAAGCTCTAACTACTGGGAAATGAATTTGGTGCTTTGGATTCCTAATAAGACAATCATGATCAAATTTGACAGTTATTGATATTTGTTCTCCACTGACAGGCTTGTGCTTCTGGCCAGTTAACCAACCCAAAACACCTGCTGGTGTTAGGTCAGGAAGGAGCAACTCTTCTTTAGATCCTGCAGGCGCTTCCTTGCCTGTGTCCTTACAACTTGCCATTGCCTCTGCATACCCAGAACAATTAACATTTGGATCATCTTCAAGGCGAAAGAGGAAATCTTGAAGAAGATCCATTGTAGACTCTTCAACTTTCCTTTGTGAGCTTCCTTCCTCAGCATGTTCTGGGTGCAGTGATGAAAACAAGTAATTTGCATCAACTGCATCATTGTTACCTGCATATCTCACAAAGAGTGGCTTGCAAGCTTCTGGATAGGTTTGGATGATGTCATTCAAACCATAGGAATCTAGCCCATTCAGGAATTCCTTGAGGTAAACAAGCCTCTTGCTCACCAAACTGATGGCTACAGAACTTAGGATCTCTTCAATGTGAGAAGCATCGACAGTTCCTGTGTACCCATGCTCAATAATAGTATCGGTGTGTGCCGCTATGTCCTCTTTAATTGCATTCAGTAATTCCCTGTCAGATGTCGTCAGATGCTTTTCACTTTCCAGTTGCTGGAGAGGAACATTTGAATCTGCCATTAAGCCATAGACACTTTCTTCCAGGAAACATGGTGCTGGCCCACCTTGGGCTATACTTGCAGCCACAATCTCTCCACAGGCTGCCCATTTGGGAAGATGACAGAGCCAATGTTAGGAAGAGTGATGGTAAAGAACTCCTTTGCCATTGCCCCAGAATCAATTCCTTGTTCCCCGCTGAAGTGGACTCTCACAACTTTCTTTGTGTTACCAGTGTTCTTTTTCACCTCTCTGCTCCATATTGATAGTGTCCGGTCTAGTGGGGCACCTCTTCTTGTGACAATGAATAAAATACTTGACTCATCTACCTGCCTACCTAAATAGGTCACCACTGAAGATGAATCACTGATTGTTGTGTGTTCATCCTCAAGAATGATGTTATCCTCTGCATCATAGCACCTTTGAAGATCAAAAGCTAAGTTTTCATCTTCCTCAAGCTGCTGAAGCCGCTGAATATATTCCATATCCAGATCATGTTTAGCAGATTGATCACATTCATGCTTCTGATCTTGGTCCTCACATTCAAGCTTGTGAGTCATTTCCATCTGCTGATCTTGATGAAACTGATCACATTGAGTGCTTGTTTTGTGATCAATGTTACAGGTCAGGTCAATTTCACATTTCTGGCACTTATTACATGAAGCGGTAGGAGCATCACTCTCATCATCACCAAAGTCAGTCAAAGTGTTGTGCTCATCAAAGTTACCTTGAGATATTTGAAAGTCATGATCGGGCACAAGAAAAGAGTGATTCTTTTATAATCTTTCCCTAGTTCCTCTTGGTATCTGCTCAGTGTAAAGGGCTCTTTCTTTGACCCAGGTAAAAAGAGGGCTTTTTTCCCATCCTCCAATAGTAAATGGTATGCCTGACTTTCATCGTAAAGATTGCTGTGGAATGTTTTCCATTTTCTCCTGCTTGTTGTCGTAGAGTAGCATAACTTGCATTAGGTGACAGTCGTAATGGCAATCTTTTACCTCTCTTTGATTTGAGAATTTGATCCTTCTCATTCCACTCCATAAGACCAAAGTGAACTACAACATCTTCATTTTTTTTCTTTTCTTCTTTACTGGACTTTGTCACTTGGGATTTCCACTCTTTCCCTTTACTTTTCCTGAAGCTTGCAAATGACTTCACTTTGGTACTAGTAAAATTGCTATCTTCAGAGCTTGTTCCTTGTTTTTCTGTGCTTGAGTGAATTGCTGAGTAAAATAGAGGTTCATATTTAAAAATGATTGTTCAACACCACATGTTATATCACTGCACCTAGACGAAGAGGAATTGGTCATTTCATTTGCAATACACAATGAAAAGGGCCACTATAAAAGAACCTAAAGGTATTGGTAAATTCCCAGTAGTCTGGGAATTCCTAGGAATTCTAAGTTATTCCAAGACATGCAAATTATGCTTAATCCAAGACTTTGGAATTTCTGTAAATATTTGGGAATAGTGGAAGTATGACTGNCTGAGTAAAATAGAGGTTCATATTTAAAAATGATTGTTCAACACTACATGTTATATCACTGCACCTAGACTAAGAGGAATTGGTCATTTCATTTGCAATACACAATGAAAAGGGCCACTATAAAAGAACCTAAAGGTATTGGCAAAGGGGGAAGAAATGAAGAAAATAGTGGAAAACTTTTCCATCACAAAACATCACAATTTAATCATATTCAGTCTATCCCATCTACTCGTCTACCCCTTTGGCCTCTTCAAGATGCATTTAACAGTAACATAAACAACAATGAAGCAAAACAATGTAGCATGCACTCCTCATATTCAGAGAAAACTTTACTTTAAACAGTCTTACAGCCTTGAGTCTGCTTAACATCAATAAAACTCAAGATAAATGATTTTGGAAATAATCAGGAATGCTTTGGCCTTTAACCTCATGCTCTCTGATTGTTCACAGACATACAGTGTTTTCCACCGGTCGAAAAATCCTTATCTCATCAGGGCCCATACATTATGAATATGTCCTTTTTACACACTTGGCTACATGTACAATCTTATTCAAGACACGTGCTGATCAGCTTATTTGTAGCAGTGTCTTCTCACGTGCCTATCGTTATTCAGAACTAAAAGAGATGCAAATACAAATACTTTAGATTAAGAAACGTACCTTTACCACAGTCTTTGCAAACGTTGGCATTTTGATCGACTATCGAACCACAAGTGCTGCAAAACATCATGAGCTCAAGATAAGGAACACTGCACTACAAATGGCAGTTTCCGAGCGATCAGTGTGTTACTGTTACACGACATACCATTTGTTAAGCAAATAACAACCGCTGATCAACTCGTTTTCTTTGTTTTGCCATGAGTAACTTTTGTTTTGCGTGAGTAAATTTTATTTTGCCGTGAGTAAACTTTGCTTTGCCGTGAGTAAACTTTGTTTTGCCGTGAGTACCTTTTGTTTTGCTGTGAGTAAATTTTGTTTTGCCGTGAGTAAACTTTATTTTGCCGTGAGTTAACTTTGTTTTGCCATGAATTAGGGGTGTTCTGCCGTGACTTTTTGTTTTGCAGTGACAGTTGTGGGCCACCGTAGTAGATGATAAATAGAAAAAAACAGTTCTCTAAGTTTAAGATTCTAAATTTGGTTCATCTTATGCCTTAAGAGAATAAAATCTTTAGTGGCTCTTTAATTTTGGATTTGAGAATTTGATGACATCACCTGCATGTACTCTACTGACCAAATCAATATTTACAAATGGACATACAAGAGTTTTTTGAATGAGAGTTTCAATCAGAAGTATCAGTAGAGGAGTAGAAACTAAAAGACTCCTTGATATTACTGCAAACCTGGAAATACTATGGCCCGGTTTTGAAATTTAAGCAAAGGTAGACTATTTCTACCATACTTAAGCTAAAAAAATTGCTCTCGAAAAAGCTTTTTAACAGTTAATGAATTTGCTTTGCAGGTAGATATTTTATGCCATTCTGTATCTAGGAAAAATCATAAAAAACAATTGCCACGTTTTTTTCTCTTCCATAATTCACATATGAGAACGATATGAGTACATTACCACTGAACTTTTTTTGTTGACACCACATTTATAATTTTTTTAATGAAGTTTACCTTTGTTTCCACATTAATATTATGATCGACCTCCAACGATAATAAACTGACAACAATTAATGCCGATATTAAGATGATTTCTGCAGAACATTCGAGCAATAATGGCAAAAATTAAGTTACCAAACAAAACCTCATGGCATGGTAATATTTTGAATACAGTTAAGAACTTATCAAGACTTTAGCTCTCAAGCTGACCCCACGAGAGAAAATTGGACTTGAAGTTATCCATATTTCAATAAAAACCGACGTTTCATGTTAATTAAAAACACAATAAGACATGCTTTAAGCATTCTTGTGATGTTTGACACTAACTCTCTTGAGAATGCTTGAGGAATTTAATAGTGGGGTCACTTGGAAAAATGAACTAAAGTGGGTTGTTTTAAATAGTATTCTCAAAGTTACTGTGTTATGAGTAGATTTTTAGTAAATAGGTTTTGCACTCATTGCTTGAACTTTGAGCAGAATCCGTCTTAAAACCTCTTAGCTTTAATTTGTCTTTGTCCTGTTGTCTTCACCGAATTTGTCAGAATTTGAAACAAAGGAAACATCAGCCCAACGGTTTTCACAAATTGAAACCATTAGCATGTGCAACCTCGTTCCCAGGGTCTCTCATCTTACCGTCCCTCTCTTTGCTCGCTCCAGGGGGTGGTAAGATGAGAGACCCTGAGAATGAGGTTGTAGCATGTGCAGAAAATAATAAATTTTGCTTTAATACATGTCATTTTCTTTTTCTCAGTAAAATGTTTTACATGCAGTGGATGGAGGCACTCCTACAGGGAAGGCCCCTCAGAGATGGCCCATTTCTGGCGTGGTGGTTGGGGTGGCCGCCACTGCCATCATGGCCATGGTGGGCACCATGGGGGAGTGGCCATGGTAAAACAACAACTGTTTCATTCAAAATTGTTTAGCTTTTATTTTTTTTTCTTTGTTACTTGTACATACATTTAGTTCATTTAGTTAATTAAAACCCTCAATACTCCCAAAGATTGCCATTTGGCACACAACGTCGTAACTTTGTGAATATTTGAGAGATTTCTATGAATTTTTACCAAAAAAAATTGCCTTGTAAAGATCTGCTCATTGAAGGCATAGAATTGTGACCCCCTCCTATCTAAGGCATGGTTGACAACTCCCATAATATTCCAGTTTCCTTTTTGAGATACACATGGTATGCAAGACTTGTTTCACATCAAGCTATGTATTAAGATGTGTTAAATAAGCTATAGTTTAGGAGCATACCTATGATATTGAAGAACTGATACAGTTTGAAAGCTTTTCAGTTTTACATTTTAAAACAAATTCTCTCAAAATGACTACCTCTTTCATAACTGCTGATGTCAGTTCTTAAATACACTGAAAGCTGATCAGTGGCTTTCAAATGGTTTATTGTACACAGGCAGAGAGTCTTTATTTGCTGATTTAGGAAAAACTGCTATT